CGGTGCTTGGCGATGGTGTGGCCCGGGACTGCCAGCCACCCTCCCCTGTTGTTTCCCGGGCGCTGTCCGGCACCTTACGGAGGGGACTTCAGTCTGGACCGTCTGCCCAGCCGGCCTTCAGCGCCATGTTCACACATGGCCGCGTCCTGGCCGGCCACGTCCTGACCTGCAAACACGGATAACATAGGCAGCATAGATTACCTCCCGGTCAGCCTTTAGTCACCGAACTTTTTAAAAATAAATTTGAGAGGATTTGGCAAGAGTGACTTTGGTTAAGAATAGTTTTGGAAGGAACCGACAACTGCAGATAATTTCCGGTGCAAATGTTTTGTCGGGTTTTGAACAGATTTTTTAATTGCATTTGCCCTGAATCAAAGAAAAGATCCGAAATTCCGAAAGCACCTCTCTCTAAGAAATAATCCAAAAGGCGCCTTCTAGCCCTACCGCAATTCGAACAGCCGCAATGACGTCATTCTAAACTTGCATTCTGCTGTAACGCTACGAGCCAGTGTATTGTGCGCAATAGAATGCACCACCGCGTGCTCGTGGCTGATGGAGCAAGCACTTAAGTGAAAGATTCGCAAATTTGGTGTAGCATGAACAGAAAGCTACCTGAAAAGGAGATGCCAAAGGCGAATGATTTGAGTACGCAACAATTTCCATGACCTGAGGTCAAACAATCGTTCGGTACAAGCCAACCAGTTGCCATGAAAAACGACGAAACGGTCACCATCTGGCGGGTGACCAGCTGAGCCTTTTGATGAATTATCTAATGATCTTGTTATAGATGAGTGATATGAGCATGGCATTTCCAACGCAAACTCACATTTCTGAGCTCACACACTGAGCAATGGGCCGGTCTCTCAACAAACTGGGCTACGGGGATGGCAAATTTCAACGCTTCAAAGACAGCCGGGCTGACTTCGACCGCCAGCTGTCAGTGAAAACTTTATCTAGCTCGTTATAGCAGGCTAGGTTAAACTTACCCGCCACATACTATAACATGCGGTAATGAGCGCGCTTTGTATGCTCCATCCTACCTGTTTGAATGAAGACTGGAGAGGCATCGAGGTTCGTGCACATTCGGCACGTCGCCGGGGTTTCCTGTACTCTCCGTGGTATCCCAGCATCGCATCCTGTCACATTTCATTTGATCTCATCACACGAACTCGCCGTGACATGAGCCTGCTCTGCACGCACTGACGTGAGCTGGGTTTGTGTATATCCATATATATATATATATATATATATATATATATATATATATATATATATATATATATATATCTATATCTATCTATCTATCTCTCTCTCTCTCTCTCTCTCTCTCTCTCTCTCTCTCTCTCTCTCTCTCTCTCTCTCTCTCTCTCTCTCTCTCTCTCTCTCTCTCGCTTCCTACCTCGCTTTCTTTTTATGGTTACATCAAAATCAATACGTGCTTATGCAAAAGCACTAATGCAACGGTATCACGTCATCTCAGGCCCATCATATCTGACATCCTGGCCTTGAGTCACGTGGCACAAGCTGTCATCGCAGGTGGGTCCAGAGTGAGATGTTCTCTTCGCCGGTGGGCCGTCTCTTAGAGCTGGGCCGCTAATGTGCACCGATGGTATCCCTCGAAGGCTGAGACAAAGTGCGCCGACGACAGCTGCATACGAATGAGCCTCCCGATGGCACGTCTGCTTGGAGGGCGGTTTTCGTGGTCGGATGGCAGACATGGTGTTATCCGGCTTGAAGGCCAGTCGTATGTCGCGCAGGTGTGTGTGGAGGCCCACGATGTAGTGGACTAGTCGCTGCCGTACTTAACGCGCTCTACAGGTGTACGTGCTGTCATTGGCGCTCTACGACGGATGCAGCTGCTGAGGACACGTGGCGTCGCCTGCCGCTCACTCGCAGAAGGGCGGGCGTCGCAGGGAATCGAACCCCGTACCTCTGGTTTCCAAAACGCACGGCTTAACGACCGCACTGCTGGCACTTGGTTATCGGTCTTCCAAAAAGGGTTTATATATCAGCGACCAAGATGCGTGTCTTGATTCTGCTGCTGCAGTGAAAGGTCCAAAGGTCCCATTATTCCTGGCATGACGCGATACGAACTAAACGCTCCTCGCAGACCTGCGTCTGGTCGTGCTGATGAATCTCTCCTGTGCGCGCTCAGCAGAAGATTTAACGCCACGTCTGCGTGCGGGGGGTTTCGCTGTACTTTTGTGCGAGGTCGGCCGGATGTCAATGTGAGTCACTCTAAGACATGTACCTCCCCTATCCTCCTGCCTATCAAATCAGGACCTCTGCTAGCATAGGATAACATGATCGGATTAACAAAGGATGGGATGCAGACATCTTATGTCAGGGAAATATCAATGGAAAGAAAAAGACAGCCTCGGTCATTTACATCCAGGGATCGCTATTTTGACACGGTTAGGTGAATGATGAAGTCAAGGGTTGCGCAGAATATTTTACAAACCACAAGAATTCTCGAAAAAAAACTGCAGCACCCGTCATAAAAGCTGCACAGCTTTACAACTGGTGACCGACAACATGAGCGTGTTCTTGCGCGCCAAATTTGTGTCATATTGCTAACAACAGTTAAGAACCAAGGTGAAGATCAAGGCAGCGTGGGAAGGTTATGAGGTGTGACTTCTTCTCCTCCGCAGTGGACCTCTAACAGTCTATGTCCGTGTTTGGAAGTCTTTCAGTTTCCCGACTTTTTCCCACACATCTTAGAGGTGAAAGTTCTTAAGTTGAGCTCGCACGAGTTAAACATGGGATGTTTTTGGCGACCTAGCTTACCCTTACGTGGTGCTACTTGTACTGGCTGACACACCAGTGTTGCATTTCGCAAAATGAACTGGGGAGCTCAGCTCATAGGCAAACAAATCTACCCTGCCTAAAAATCTGAGTTATCCCCAGACTTTGGCCCCTTCTTGCATCCAGGAACCATGGGCTAAGCAGTCGTTGGTAGACATATATTTCATTACGCAACTGAATTTAGGTTTGCAAGGAAATCTATGTGTCACTATCCCCTAACGATCTAAACATGTACTCGCACATTTTGTACTTGGCGTGCTGAATGCATGCGAAAATCATTGCTAAAATAACGACGCAAGCCACATTTTAGGAAGGTAGTTGGATTCGAAGAGGGACGGCTTTCCTTTGGGACTACCATGTTAAAGGGATCGTATATGCAGAACACATATTTGCCGTCACCTCAGAGAAAGACATTATTTGATTTGTATTACGGACGATTCACATCACCTAAAGAGCAAACTTTATGGCACTATATCCCGACAGAGTTTCCAGTTCAACACCAGAGTGGGCGATTAACTGCTGCCATCATAATCTATGAAATAGATCACCAAGAACAGTGCGCCGAAAGCGCTGTTTTTTTTAGCTCTTACCCTTACAGCCACACAAGCCACATTTTAGACAAGTTTAGACAAGTGTCGTGCGTTTTCATGACATGGGCCTGAGCATTTATTTCTACCCGTGCTATAGTTTTATGTCATACGTTCCGAAGGCGTGAAGGTGTTTGCCCTAATTCCAAAGTGTTATTAGCCCAACTGAATGCCACAGCGTCAACGACTTTTTCAGATTGCTAAACTTACAAGGGCGCTGCTTGTGCACAGAGGAGCTGCATTTTTAGTGATGCTAATATGCAACCACATTTTTGAACGTTAAAGATGTCGTAAGTAGTCTCCCCTATCAACAGCATCGTATGAGGCAGTGAAACTGAACATAAAACGCCACGAGGACAGCCATAAAATGCGAGAGTGGTGCGATATCAGATGTGAGGTACGTCATGAGGTGCGAGGTACGTCATGAAGCTCTCGTTCAGAACCAAACCCACCGTAACTGAAATGTCCTCTGAATCACGCTCACGCTCACGGCAACTGAAGTGAATCTCTGTTAGTCTTCAGCAGTTTCTGGACCTCTGTGATAGCTATGTCAAACTATGTCAAATGACACGATGCTGTTTATAAAGGTAGGAAGACGGAGTGCATGAAGATACTTCCCTAAATATGCTATGAGATGGCGCTGACTACCTTAGGGGTTTCAGGCCTTCAGGGTTTGTAGCGTTTGTCTAATGTACGCTGGCTCGTTCCCATTACTTGGTTTTGGTTACAATGGGAACACGACATGCGATAACTCTAAGATCCAACAATAATATCACCTGATGCACCTGATGCACAGAGCCGCAAAGCGTTCCATATATTGATGTTCTGTGGATTTCATGCTGTGCAGAAATGCTCGCTTGTTGCGTACTGCTCATTGCAGACTGCCCCGATAAGTCGCATTCTGTCCACGCTGGGGTGCTGTGGTTCAAGGCGTGCCTCTACAATGCTTCCATGACACTTTTCGCATATGATAAACACAAGTTTGCAGCGCATCTACCATGTCTGCAGATCAGTGTCGTGACAATTTCGGCGTGATGCATAGTAAGACGTCGTGTAAGTTTCTCATACGTGTTTGCACTGCGAGCTGCCGTGTGTTGTGTTTGTTGATTCCGTACGGAGACATGTGATGACTTGATCATGTGACTAGGACATATCTGTCGTTTGTCGCCGACATATCGTCTAGCCATGCCGTCTGAGCGAACTCCGCATAGGCTTTCCCGTTTAGCTGGGCCTCTCCAGCTGCCAACGCCACTGCAGACTCGACCGACGGGCCATGCCGCTTCAGAGATGGCCATGTCCATATGCCTGGCCATGCCGCTCCATAGCCCGGCGTGCCCATAGGCCCGCCCGCCCTGGTCATGTAACTCCATAGGTGACCGTCCTTACAGACCGCTCTGTCAAACCGCGCCGCTCTATAGGTGACCGTCATTACAGACTGTTCTGTCAAACCGCTCCGCTGCATAGGTGACCGTCCTTACTGTCAAACCGCGCCGCTCTATAGGTGACCGTCATTACAGACTGTTCTGTCAAACCGCTCCGCTGCATAGGTGACCGTCCTTACAGGCTGCTCTGTCAAACCGCGCCGCTCTATAGGTGACCGTCATTACAGACTGTTCTGTCAAACCGCTCCGCTGCATAGGTGACCGTCCTTACAAGCTGCTCTGTCAAACCGCGCCGCTCTATAGGTGACCGTCATTACATACTGTTCTGTCAAACCGCTCCGCTGCATAGGTGACCGTCCTTAGACTGTTCTGTCAAACCGCTCCACTCCATAGGTGACCGTCCTTACAGACTGTTCTGTCAAACCGCTGCGCTGCACAGGTGACCGTCCTTACAGACTGTTCTGTCAAACCGCGCCGCTGCGTAGGTGAGCGTCCTTAGACTGTTCTGTCAAACCGCTGCGCTGCATAGGTGGCCGTCCTTACGGACTGCTCTGCCAAACCGCGCCGCTGCACAGGTGACCGTCCTTACAGACTGCTCTGCCAAACCGCGCCGCTCTATAGGTGACCGTCATTACAGACTGCTCTGCCAAACCGCGCCGCTGCACAGGTGACCATTTCTCTACATTCTCCCGCCTCACCGTGCTGCTTCAGAGGTGGCCGTCTGATAGTTATTAACCCTCCTGTATGACCACCTCACTCCAGAGGCGGGCACCTTACGGAGGTGCCCTCCTAACGATACATTCCAGGGGCAACCGCCCATGAAGACTCACCCTCCGAACCACGCCGCTTCAAAAGTCAGGCCCCTATAGAAGCGTCCGTCTGACACGTCACCCCAGGGGACGTCCCTATAGACCCGTCCAACCAGTCGTTCCGCCAAAGAGGCAGGCGAAGTCGCCACGCCGTCTGCTCCTCCCCGAGCGAGCCATTTCGCCGCGAGCCCGGCCGGCTCGACTTTGGACGCGGCCGCGGGCGGAGCAGAGTCGAGCCGGCGCTCCGGTGCGGCGCGCTGCCGAACGGAGGTGTGGATGTACGGTCGGTTGGTGCGTCTGCACTCCGTACACCAGACATCGCTGGTCGGCGGTGGACGATGTTTGCACGCCCCGGGGGCTCCTCCATCGTGCACGCCAGGTGATCGTGACACTTGCGCTGGACGTCGCTCGTGACCTCCGGTCACTCAGTATGGCCGCCGGTCAGCTGACTGTTGCGCTGTTTGCGCTGCTTGCCTGCACGGTTGTTGCCGAGCACCATGCTCGGGATGCGTGCACACCTGGCAAAATGGTCGTTTACAAGGTTGTTGTTAATACGTTCTGGTCGAAGCAGAAGTTTCCGAAGCAATACCCCTTATGGCGGCCTCCGGCTCAGTTCTCCAAGTTTGTAGGTAAGTGAATTGATTTGCGTGATCGAATGAGCTGTTTGTAGTCAATTTCGCGGGAACTCCGGGAATTCGGCCATTTGAATGTGATGTGGTACTGGCATTGGTGTTGATGATGTGGATTGGTGGCATTGGTCATATACAAATATGTATATATATATATATATATATATATATATATATATATATATATATATATATATATATACATACATATATAGCACTGGTGATTGGCATCCACCAGCCTCAGGCGCAGACTGCTTTTTAATTCTACGAACTCCATCTGGAGATGGAAAGCCTGTGTAAAGACGGAGCCTGCGGTCGCTGCCACCAGTGTTTGTCAGGTGCCCCTAGTCATTTTGACATCACCATGCCAGCCGTTTGTTTGGCTCCACCTGCCGATGTCCAGCATCAATCACAACAACGGCGTTCGGCCAGCCGCCAACTGGCCCAGCCGTAGTCTGTTATGACTTCAAAGGTCCGCCAATAAAAAGCTTTTCGGAATGGCTGATGTTCAGATCATCGTCGCTCAGCTGTCAACGACTCCGTTTCAGCGGCCGAGGCGAGCTGGGCTGTGTGCTATGGATAACATACATCAGTCTCGATGCTTCAACAATTACGGCTTATGATGCGTTGCCTATAGACATTTGTTGCCTGGTCTGCTTGGTTTAGGTGATATATATATATATATATATATACATATATATATATATATATATATATATATATATATATATATATATATATGTGTGTGTGTGTGTGTGTGTGTGCGTGTGTGTGCCCGCAGCTGAGAGCACAACAGCACATGTAAAATTCACCTATGTCTTGTTCGAAAAGATTTAGCATTATCCAAGAAACTGTAAAGCTGTCTTTGTAACAACTATGATCTAGCTTCTCATCCGGAGAAATGGGCGGCTGCTCCAACACTTATAACTCATCTCGTATGTTGAAGTCATGCAAATCGGCTTATGAATATGGAAGTGTGCCTCTTTGCTCATAAGCAAATCCCATTTGCTGCAGACGGCACGTGAGCTATGGCGGCCTGTAGGTCATGCTTTGTAAACCACACCGCGTGACAGATCACCCAGCGGCTCAGAGCAGGCGGGCGATGACTGAGAACAGGCGCCTGGCGCATGTCGGTGCAATGGCTCGAGCGGAACAGCAACACGCACTGTTGCATTTACAAATTTTGCCGTCATGCATAGTGGATGATATGCGATAGGCCTGTGGTGCAGCGGGATCGCCGGCACTCCCTTCCTCGTCACCAGGCCACTTCAGCTGCATGGCGCTGTGCGGGCCGTTCGGAGAGGGGCGTTCTCGGAGCCGCCGGCGTGTCAGTATTATGCGTGTTGATGGGCGCTACGTCGGTGGCGGCCAGGAATCTCCTGCCAATGTGAATCTGTCTCTTTCCTGTTTTCTACACGTGATCCAGGACGCCATGGTTCTGAAAGGATTACTCATTTTGGCGTGTGAGCTCCGACTGTACCTAAGACTTCTCTTACCCTCCAAGTTAAGCTGTAAGCGACGGCGATGAAGTAAGCAGATTAGGATGTTAGGCAAGATCTCTGACATAATCGCTGACACATGCACAGCTGGCAAAACTTGGACCCTGACGATTTCTCAAACAATGCCACTTCAATGGAGCTCGTGCAACGAACCCGCTGGCCCGTGCTTGCTGACTTCTGCCTTTTGCAACGCTGCAAAAGCAACCATAGGTCGTTGACTTGGGCTGTAATGACGCAAATGTTGGGTCAGGACCTCATCACGCTAATTGTTCAAATGTTGGGTCAGGGCCTCATCACGCTCATTGTTTAAATGTCCTCATGCGCAGCGCCGATAATATGCCGTCATTTCGAGCTGTTAACAGCAATCAGCGCAATTTCAGGCTATAACTCAATGCAAGCGGCCCCACATCATGCATGACTGATCACAGTATCGAATAAGATATCCACCCATTAACTGTGTATACCGGCATTCATGGTGTGCGTCGTAGCTGCTCGTGTGTGGTGGTGTGTGTGTGTGGTGTGTGTGTGTGTGTGTGTGTGTGGTGTGTGGTGTGTGTGTGTGGTGTGTGTGGTGTGTGTGTGTTGTGTGTGTGTGTGTGTGGTGTGTGTGGTGTGTGTGTGTGTGTGTGTGTTGTGTGTGTGTGTGTGTGTGTGTGTGTGTGTGTGTGTGTGTGTGTGTGTGTGTGGTGTGTGTGTGTGTGTGTGTGTGGTGTGTGTGGTGTGGTGTGTGTGTGTGTGTGTGTGGGTGTGGTGTGTGTTGTGTGTGTGGGTGTGTGTGTTGTGTGTGTGTGTTGTGTGTGTGTGGTGTGTGTGTGTGGTGTGTGTGTGTGTGTGTGTGTGTGTGTGTGTGTGTGTGTGTGTTGTGTGTGTGTGTGTGTGGTGTGTGTGTGTGTGTGTGTGTGTGTGTGTGTGTGTGTGTGTGTGTGTGTGTGTGTGTGTGTGTGTGTGTGTGTGTGTGTGTGTGTGTGTGTGTGTGTGTGTGTGTGTGTGTGTGTGTGTGTTGTGTGTGTGTGGGTGTGTGTGGTGTGTGTGTGTGTGTGTGTGTGTGTGTGTGTGTGTGTGGTGTGTGTGTGTGTGTGTGTGGTGTGGTGTGTGTGGTGTGTGTGTTGTGTGTGTGTGTGTGTGTGTGTGGTGTGTGTGTGTGTGTGTGTGTGTGTGTGTGTGTGTGTGTGTGTGTGTGTGTGTGTGTGTGTGTGTGTGTGTGTGTGTGTGTGTGTGTGTGTGTGTGGTGTGTGTGTGTGTGTGTGTGTGTGTGTGTGGTGTGTGTGTGTGTGTGTGTGTGTGTGTGGTGTGTGTGTGGTGTGTGTGTGTGTGTGTGTGTGTGTGTGTGTGTGTGTGTGTGTGTGTGTGTGTGTGTGGGTGTGTGTGTGTGTGTGTGTGTGTGTGTGTGTGTGTGTGTGTGTGTGTTGTGTTGTGTGTGTGTGTGTGTGATAGATGGTAAATTTTGTTCTCGTTATTCTTTGAAATGAAGCATATATTTCACAACATTTCGCCGTTAGCCATCGTAGCTTACGGCGGCTCGATGAGACTTACGAGAGACTCAGCATGCAGCACTGCGTCGGAAGCGGTGTTGTGGTCTAAAAATGGTCACCGTCTTGTCATAAGAAATCTATGCAGGTGTTTTTACAGCGGCGTTGGCGAACAGCTGTAAGTGTTGACCAAGCCTGCCCATTTAACACAGCTCTCACGAAATGTGCTGTATATTTACTGTATGCACGAGACATCATGGGATAAACAAAGATGGTTTCGTTTTAAACCGGCGTCGGGGGTCCGCCTGGTCGCTGGTCGCCATTGGTGTCTGACCGTCGGGCGCCGTTGGCCGTAGCTGACCGTCCGACAGTTGCACTACGAGCCAGGGCCCCTGGTATCCGACCGTTGGACGCCGTTAGCCGTAGCTGACCGTCGGACAGCTGCACTACGAGCCAGGGCCCCTGATATCCGACCGTTGGACACCGCTGGCCGTAGATGACCGTCGGACAGCTGCACCGCGAGCCCGGGCCTCTGTGGTGTCTGACTGTTGGACGGTTGCACCACGAGCCTGGGCCTCTGATCGGCTTGAAGAGTCCGTGGCGAGCGGCCAAACGTCAGCCACAGGCGGCCAAACGTCTGCCCGCCGTCGGCACGGTATGCAGACGATTCGATCGCACCCGTTGTGGCGGCGGCTGAGCCAAGCGGGCGGGGCGGGCGGGGCTGCGGTCTCGCCGCCGTCGTCGCCGGTCCGTCAGCGTCCGCCGGTGCGTCCGCCTCCGACCGGGTCCGCCCTAACGCGCCTACCTGACCGGCCACAATGCTGCGTGCTTGGTACACGGAGGAAACGAACGGCGACGGGCGCTGTGCGTCGTTGCACGGCGGCTGTTGTCGGGAGTCCCGCCCAGCATTGACCGCAACGGTTGCTGTCCGGGGCTGGGGCCACGGCAGCTGAGTTTCAGACATCTGGGTCCGCACCAGCACAGCAGATGCAGTCCAGAGTCCTGAGACCCCGGCAGCTGTAGTCCCGGTATTGGGGTCTGAGGCGGCACAGCAGCTGCAGCCGGGCCCGCGGCGGGGCACGGTGCAGTCCTGGATCAGACGCGCTGCAGCAGGTCGGCCGTTCCGGCTGTGGATCCCCCGTAGTGCTGAGTCAGATGCGCTGCAACAGCCCTGCCGGCGCCGGCGGAACAAAGATATCCCCTCCACACCCCACACCCTGCTGCGGTCGGCTGGTGGTGGGCTGCCCGTCACACGTCACGGGTCCAGGCCGGCCGCAATTGGCTCTTTATGACGGCCGATGAACGAGTGTGACTCCACCTCTGGTCTCAGTCAGCCGGGGTGACGTGGTGCCGTCTGATGTCAGGCCGGTGGGGGTGACTCAGGCCTGCGGTCCCTCCCCGTGGCCCGCCCCCGCCGCCGCCGGTCGCTGACCGGCTCGGTGCCCGGAGATGGAGCGCCTATCTTAGGCTACCATATACAGCAGGCGGCTGGAGATATTTTGAGGTAAACTCCAGGGCACTCTTGTGCCCAAAGCTCCGTTCTGTCTGTTTATATAGCCTCGTTTCTGCTGGCTCACTCGGAGACCCTTCCCGATAGGTTCTGAGGTTGAAATGGACGTACGGAACCTTGCTTTGAGAAAAGGAACTGTGACTTCGTCCTTCATATAAAACTGATCATGCTGGCTACTGGCTAACTGGCTACTTTGCGGAAGGGCAAGTGAATGCAGGGTGGACAAACTCATTTTCAACGAGCGAGTCCCCAGAAGGTAATTTGTGCTGGGTTGTCAGACAATGCATTAGAAGATACTATAGCATCCGTCATGTCTGGTGATTGTCACCAGCTTCTCGCTAAGACGGCAGCAACCGGGCCAGGGTGGTGGCGGCGGACGAGGGGGGGGGGGGGGGGGGGGGAGGGGGCGGGGGGAGTAGGAGCCGGGCTGGGGCGGGGATATCGGAAGCAAGGATCTTCATTCTATGCCGATTTACGGTCTCTTATTTTTTGACACGAGAACCATCCGTTTTAAACGCTTCT